CCATTACTAATAGGCCTACCGTTTCAAGGTACTTTAAGGATAGCTCTTGATTTCCTTAGAGAGAGCTACCACCTTTAGGTCTACCATCTCTTAGTCCATCATTTCACACAAGAAGAAGGCCACAACTATTAGGTCTATCGCTTCAAGGTTTAACACACACATAAGGAAAGGCCACTAACATTAGGTTTACCAAGCTAAGGTGTTACATTCACATTAGCACCTAGACTCCTCATGAAAGGTGTAACACCCCTCAAAATGAAGTAGGATAAAGTAGAGCCTCGGATGAGTCCTAAGCCTTAATAACTTGTTAAAATAATGAAGAATAGTCTTTTTAGTCAGTTTTAAAGAGTTTGGAAGTCAAACGTCAAGGGACGACCAAGACATTCGGAAACTAGTCTTTTACGTGTTGGTGTGTTCTAGTATGTTGTTCATGTTTTTATGGGTTGTATGGACTCTAAAATCAGTGGAGGTGACCCTAGTGTCTTAATAAATGTTTTTAGGGTCAAATATTCAGGTATGACTCCCCGGGGCCACCCTAAGGGTCCCCAAGGAGGACCCCAACCTTTGGCCAAGCAAGCTGCCAAGGCAGCTTGAAGTTGTTCTTGGAGGGACTGGCTCCGCGTCGCGGACTTGCTCCACCAATGGGTAAAACATGGCTCCGCGTCGCGGAGACACCGCGGACTCTGCTGTCTCAAAATTTAATTTCCAGAAAACTTGTGGGAACACCTCCGCGTTGCGAACTTGTTTCCCGACAAAATCTGCGAAAATAAAACTCAAGTTGGACTTGTTTAAAAAGGTCCAACTAAGTGAGGGGTAGTTTGGGTACTTTGGGTTATTATTATTTTTAAGTGTTTTTAAGTATTTTAAAGATATTAAAACATTTAAGAGGTGTTTTTGAATTCATTCTTCCAAAATCAAAACCCCAAAGTTCTTTCTCTTTCTAAAGTTATCTCAAGTTCAAGTAAGAAGAAGGTGGAGAGCTAGGGTTTCAATTGAGGGTTCCCTTCCACCAAATTCCGTTGAGATTTCATCAATTGAGGTATGGTGGCTCTTCATCTAGGACTCATCTTCATCCTAGAGTCAATTTCAAAGGATTTTACAATGTTTTCAAAAAGTGACTAAACGCTCGTTTTTGAATTCTATCAAGGGTTCTTGCATGAAAATGATTTGAAACATTTGGGTATGGATTAATTGATGTTTGTTTGTGGTTTTTGAATGAAATACTCCATGAAGCCTTGTCTTCAACAAAACCCTAAAATTTGCTTTGAAGTGGGTCTATTTCTACAAATTCAAAGTTGATGAAATTATGTGTAAAGTGAATTGTATTGATATATATTGTGTTGTTTAATGTTTATTTATGATTAATTATTCATAATGGATGAATTAAGGGAGGTAAGCCTTATGGGTGAAGTATTGGTGATTTTGGCTATGGCTTTGGATTATGGTAAGAAGGCTTGAACTCTCTTTATTGAGTTGATTGTTGTTGGTAGGTTGGATCCACCTTTGGTGGAAGTGTTATATCTTATTCTTGTGTGGTATTATTGTGAATTGAGGCCATGAAGGGCATTATATGATTATTATTATATTGTTGTATTATTATACACATATGAGGCTATATGTAAAGTCCTATATGAAGTTATATGTAAAGTTTGTGTGAAGCTATAATGTGAAGATGTTCTAATGGTATTAATGTGATATTATATAAAGTGGTATTATGCTAATGTGAAAGCATGTTTCTCTTGAAATGGTGATATGTGGTGATGGTGGACTATGATGAGTCTCTATAAGATGATGTTGTAGCTCATATGCTAGACTTGAGTATCTTGTCTTGTGTCACGAAAGCTTTATTATGTATGAGTATATGAATGTTTGGTTGGGCTATGACTCAGTAATGGAGCTCTTCCTATAAATGCTAAAACAGGAATTCTAAGCCAAGACTTGAATTGGTAAGACTTAGCATAGTGACTTTTCATGAGTCTAGCTTTCCTAAGTAAATGTATAACCTTGAAGGATGGGCCTTAGGGTGATGTTCCCTTCTTGAGTGAAATGATAGACTTAGAGATGGATGTAGCCGGAACGGCATGAGAATCCTTATCTAAGAAAGTCAAACAAGCTATCCTTATGAACCTAGATTGGCTATGACTAAGAGATGGGGCCTTTCTTGGGAAGAGGTACTATGAGTTGGTTGAACTAGAAAAGGAACCCTCTCTAGTACATATGTGATTGAATACTCTATGGAAACCAAGGCTAAGCACCGAGTGGATGTGGTTAGGATGTTGGCCTAGTTGAGCATGAGATTAGGCACACTGAACATCCTTGGACATCTCTTAAACCATGTGCCAACATGGGTTGCTTTTAGTTCTACCCTTGGCAAGTAGAACAACCTTCACGGAGTAGGGTAGACTCCGGATTCCATACCTTGCTAGTATGGTCTATGTCGGTTAAGGCCTATTTCCATCATATGGGAAGTGCACTCTAATATTGGATAGGTTCTACAACGTGTAGGTAGTAGTATGGGATGCTATCTATACATGGCACGAGTAGGATTAGAAGATACTAAAGTGAGTTCCCTAAGCCTTAGGGCTATTATGTGATTGTCCCCTATATGCTTGTGTGTCTCCTAAATGGTTTTATAAAGAATGTTGACTTAGTATGTTATAAGGTACTGATAAAACCCTTGTCTATGGTAACTCTTAGGAACACTTAGGTGTATATGAAGAGGTTGTATGGGCGGTCACTTCATTATTTACTTAAGTGTGGCTTAGGGTGACTTGAGATAGAGGCTTAAATGGTAATGAACAACTTACTTTGCTATCTTGTTTAAGCATGGTATACTTGTGTTAATTGAGTTGTAAATGATGTGAATATGGTCTTAATTGTGAATGGTGACTTGAAATGTGGGTTTATGCTTGTGGTTGTAAAGGTTTGTTAAAGAAGGTCTTAAAAGCATACATTCCTTGTAAATGTCCATTGTGCATGTTTTCTTGCATGATCATCATACTTAGTACTTATTGTACTAATTCCATATTTCTCTATTGTTACAAGTGTAAGTGGTGGAAAGTGATGAGATCTTTTGAGGAAGCTTGGGATATTGACTCTTCTCAAGAAGCTTGGTGTGTCCTCATATATTCGAACACATAGTTGTTACCTTTCTAGTATTACCACTTAGACATTGTATAAGCTTATATTTTGTTGTAAAGGGCTGTGCCCCTAAGGTGTCCAATTCGTGTCTAAGATGGTACATGAGACTTAGAAATTCTACTTCGTTACATTTGAAAGATTTTATGAGTATTATGAATTTGTTTTAAAAAGTGTTTAAATTCCTTACGGTTTTTATTACTGAATGCGATGAATGAATGCTAAGAGGCTTGTATTAGACCTCCAAGAGGTCGAGTAAGCATGTTACGACTTGGGGGTGCTCTCGGGTCGTTACAAAAGGCCACTAACATTAAGTCTACGAATCCAAGGTTTAGCCTAGAATACTTCATTAGACTTTTATTGATAGGCTACCAACATTAGGTCTACCAATTCTAGAAATTCATTCATTCATTTATGAAAGGCTACCAACAATAGGTCTACCAATCTAAGACATTAAGTCAAGATACATTCATCATTCAAGAGGAGGATGCCTAAGCCTACCATCACATTCAATATAGTTTTCATTAGTCAAGAAGAGGGCACCTAAGCCTACCAATTCAAGATACTTCATTCATAGTCACATTCATCAATACAAGAAAAGGATGCATTAGCCTACCAATTAAATATATCACATTCATCGTTATAGAACACTTCACATTCCATCATCTTCATTCATTTGTGTTAAGAGAGAATATACTATTAATCATAACACGTTCACATTCTATACAAGATCATCATTCCATCATTGAAATCACAAGTATATTATTCACATTATACATTCACAATTACAACATTATGATAATACTTCAATTCCTCACAATATGCCTTGAAGTCCATGATCACAATGTACTTAGTAACTAAACATCTCCACCTTTCAAGTGGATCAACAATTCAAGTACAATTCTACTTCAACAATCAATTAGGTCAAACTTGCCCTTTCAAGGCTATGATCACAAAACCTCAATTCACCAACAATTCACCATAATTAGACCTATATAATGATACAAATCAACAATCTAAATCAATCTACGAATAAATTTATTATCATTCATTCATAATCATCAAACCCACTTTATAAGTCACAATTTAAGAATTGAGAGAAATCATGGGTTCATAGAGTTTTTCATCTTAAATCATCAATTAAACATCTATATAATCATAGTTTATCATTTGAAAATGTTTGATGGAAGAACCCATGAGATTGAGTGAAACTTAGGGTTTTTGTGTAACCTAAAAACTTTATAAACTTCTTTGACGGATCGTATTGGTCATCCGTCAATGGTGGTTGTGGCTTGGTTTGGGTCCCCTTGACCTACAGAAGCCATCCACGGGGCATGGACCTCTTCTGTAGGTCACCCCACATGTTAATGTTGGACCAAGATGATATAGGAATAACAAGTGGCTGCATGAGACCTGGTGATGCTGCAACATCATACTTTCTCCTTTGGCATACAAAACAATTTCTAACATACTGGTTAATATCATCTCTCAAATTCTTCCAGTAGAATAGCTGAGATATTCTCCTATATGTGTTTTCCATTCCTGAGTAACCACTACTGGTTCTATTATGCAAAATCCGCATTATGTCTTACTTGAGTTGCTTATCCTGTCCTACCACTATCTTACCATACCTTTTGAGCTGTTGGTTGTAATAAGTAAATCCTTTTTGGCCCTCCCCTTGACCTATTATCTTCTGGATTACTTTCTTCAACTTGTCATCTCCTTCTTAGCTGGTCATGATCATATGGAAAAGATTGGTTTCCACATGGATAACAGACAACTGGAATAAATGTGTTGTTGGTACCCTGGAGAGAGAATCAACAGCTTTATTCTCTCTTCCCTTTTTGTATTCAATCTGGAAGTCAAATTGCATTAGCTTGGATATCCATTTCATCTAAGTACCAGTGTGCAACTTCTGATCCAGTAAGAAATTTAGGGCCTTCTAGTTTGTTCTTACTACAAATTATCTCCCTAAAAGATATTGGAACCATTTGGTTACTACCAGGACCAAAGCTAGTAACTCTTTGTCATACACAGACTAGACTTGATGCCTAGGTGCTAGTCCCTTGCTTAGATAAGCTAGAGGGTGCCCTTCTTGCATCAAGACTGCTCCAATTTCAATGTCACATGCATCAGTCTCCCAAGCTTAGTACATCTGCACTTATCAAATCTCTCTTGAGTTGATTGAAAGCTAGTGTTGCCTTGTCATTCTAGAAAGCCCTTCCTTCTTAAGAAGATCAGTCAGGAGCTTGCTTATCCAACCATATCTTCTTATAAACCTTATATAGTATCCAACCAACCCCAAGAATCCCCACAACTCCTTCACATATTTAGGAGTTGGCCATTCTTGAACAACAACAATCTTCTTAGGATCAGTGGACACACCTTCAGCAGAAATGAAGTGCCCTAGGTATTCCACCTTATAAGCTCCAAAATAACATTTGCTTTTCCTGACTAAGAGTTGGTGTTTGATCAACATGTTGAAGATAACTCTCAAGTGTTGTAGATGCTCTTCCATTTCTGACTATAGACAAGGATGTCATCAAGTAAAATTAAGATGAATTTCTTGAGATGGTCCTTGAATACATGGTTCATTTTAGGGCTGATACTCCTTTTTATTAGTGACTCCCCTGTTACTAACCCTAAAAAATGCCCCTTATTTTGGATAGATCCCCCACTGTATATAGAAGATTTAGTCAACCTAAGTTGGGCATTCACTTAAGCATCAATGTTTCTTTCCAATTTGTATCTCTGAGGTAATGAATAAGGTCTATGGTTCTTTACAGTGAACCCTATCTCTGGTTTCAGCCCACTGCTAAAGGCACTGATTGCATATTTTGGAAGCAAGACCAACCTTGTCATGATCCTGTAAAATTCTTTTTGATAATCTTCTACAAGGCTAATCTGTTTAACCAATTTTAACTTAGACATGGGATCTGCATACTCAGCCCCAAACCTATCCATTAAGGCATATATATATTCCTTCCAATAAGGAAGGGGAAGTTGGTTTCTACTTCTAATGTAAGCAAAATGCCACTCAATGGCTATGTCATCAAAATGAATGGAAGCCACTTTAACCATTTGACTGTAATCTATCTCATACAAGGAAAAAAATTGCTCCACCTTGCATGACCAAGCTCTCTAGTTAATGCCATTAAAACTAGGAAACTCCAGCTTTGTCATTCTTGTGATGATTGGTCTGCATAGATGGTCATGTAGTACCATCTCCTCCTTGTGTTCCCACGGGGGCTTGGCCTGTTGGAATGGGGTGAGAGGTTTGACCCATGTTAGCAGAATTTTGGGGCATGAAGTTTACCCCTAAAGGATATCCTTATGGGGAATAAAGAGGCATAGTTGGTCTCCCTGCAGGAGGAGGTATCCATGCCATTGGATACCCAGAAAGAGTGTAAATATCCCCACTTCCATCTTGGCCCTCAACACTCTTTCCTCTATAAAACCTTCTCCCTACATCTAAGGATTCTTTAAGCTCACCAAAGGCCTTCTCATGTTGGTTTTCCCATTGAGTTTGTCTAACACTGAGGTTAGCAATCTCTATTGTCATCCTCTCCGACATAGATTTGATTTCATTCATCTTAGAGGCCATAATTAAATACCTCAGAGCTCAAGAAAGTGCTTTGCTACCAAATGATGCAAAATGGAAGAGCGTGGATTATCAATGGAACAGTATTAACACTGAAGAGTAAAAAAAAAAGTTAAGCTAGAATAAGCTAATTATGGCTAGGGTATATTTTCATTCATAATATTACCAAGAAGAACATTACAATATATAGTACCTTAACCCTACATAACTCACTATCCTTCTCCTTAAGAGATAAGAAAGCTACAATACTATTTCTGTAGAAAAGGTAAACGGACTAGATAAGGACCCTTATAACAATTATGGGGTCCAAAGTATAAATAACATAACTTAATGGCAAATGTAAAAAGGACCAAACAGTCTAACCAACAAAAGTTCCCTTTAACTAACATAACATCTAGGTATCACCTGGAAACCCTAAGGTAAACCTCTCAGCAACTTCTATCTCCTAGGTTGGGCACTCCTCTACCTCAATCTGCATCAGGATAATTGCTAGCAGTAGCTAAATCTTGGGTATGTGATGTGTCAGACATACGAAAGTATGGTCCTTATTCTAAATATATGACTGTTAGGCTATTTGTACAACATCTTAGATACTCACGTGTTGACATGTCTAGCTTGGAACATAATCAGTTAACTAAAACATTGAGAAGTGTAAACATGTGTCATGTGAGTGTGAAGTTTACGTGAAGTCTAATACTGGATGCAGAAGCTAGAACTTGCCTAAGTAGTGTTGCTAAAATCTGAAAAATAACTGGATAGGAAGTGATCATTAGGCCATTGTTGTTAAGTCCACTGAAAATTAAAAATAAACTACCAAATGAAAGCATGAACCCTTGAACCCCATTTGAGCCTTGAAACTTATTTTGTTCTTGCCAGTTTGATAACGATTCCTTGGGTCTACGAAGACATGATGCCACAACTCAGGCCAAAAACTTAAGTTGAGGGTGTTTACACCCGTAACAGAAAAGAAAAGAGTAAAAAGTTTGCACACTCAGGTACAAAGTAAAAATGCTCACTTGAACAGGCGTTGTGTGCATGGCTAAAAGAATATGGCAGTATATAAATATAAATTAAAAAAATAAATAAAAAGGGTAAAGAAGGAATAATGGTGTGGCTACTGGGATGTACTAAAATGAAAAGAGTTGAAATCACACTTAGATTGTCCTAAATAAGTGATGGTGGGACTGAATTGTTGGGACATCACACAGACGTCTGTTTGCAGGGTGGAGTGTAAGAGTAATGATTAGTCCTAACTATCATGTGTGAAGGACTTCTTTGGTGTGAGGGCACTATGTTTACATTCGATAGTGAAATTGTGTTAGCTGATAATGGATACTAGCATAAGCATGATTAACTGTGAGTAATGGGATGTCATACATTAATCCTTGCATGTTAGGTAGATGGTTTTGGACAAAAGCATTGTTTGAGAAAGTTATTGCGGGCTAGTATTATATCTCGGGTCTTTCAGCGTCAAGTGTTTTGTTTTAATCGCTTGAGGACAAGCAATGGTTCTAAGTTGAGGGTGTTGATGTGCCGTGAAATCACGACACATTTGACACTCAAAACTAAAGATTAATGTAAGAACTTGAGTGAGTTTTTTTAGATTTGATGTGTTTGTGGATGTTTAGACAGGTTTACACTTGCGTGGGAAAGTTAAAAAAAAATCGTGAAAGAAATGCACTGGCGGAACAGCACGAAGCCCTAGACGGGCTTTGGTATTTTTAACGAGCTGTCCTGAGGCTCGTGGAGATGAGACGGAGCATTAGGAAATCGACCAACTAAAGGCTCATTGAGTAGAAGCAGTGAAGAAGGTCAACTGAGCAAATGCCTAAGTGAAGACCACGACGTCCTTGACGGGTCGTGGATCATCCTGAGCTCCATGAGGATTGACTAGTGATGAAACCTTGAGAAGCTAAATGTGGAGTGAAGACCACGAGACCCATGACGGGCCGTGGTAAAATTAACGGACTGTTTGGATTGCCCATGAAAGACACCAGGAAAAAAAGTCTCACATTGTTTAAGTGTGAGAGAACAGCTGTCCTCACGGGTCGTGAAGTGCTTAACAGATCATGTTGCCGTTTGTGTAACACCCCAACAATTCAGTTCTACTTCGAGTAGGACTCTTTTTCGACAGACTATTTGAAATAATTAGGTGTAATTTTAAAATTGTCTCGTCATTGTTTGAATGTAGTACGATTTTCCTTATTCTCAACTTTGGTTTTTAGTGATTAATTTTGTATCAAGACTTGAAGCTTTTGGTTACTTGTTCGAATATGAAGTTTGCTTTGTAATTACAATCCTTGTAAGTGACTTGTTTTAGGGTGTGTTTGGTATGAAGAAAAACATTTTCCGGAAAATGCTTTTCCAATTTTCTCATGTGTGGTTGGGTAAAATATTTGGAAAATATTTTCCAAATCAACTCATTTTCCTTAAATTTAAGGAAAATGACTTCCCTTCAAAAATTAAAGAAAACATTTTCCAAAACTTTCCTCCAACTTCAAATTACAAACCTTTTTGTTAAAAAATTCATTTTTTTTTATTTAAAAAACAAATTAAGCTTATTTCAACTTCAACTTTTTTACCCCACCCTCACCTCGACTCCCCCTCTCACCGGCCCCCACCCCCCCCCCCTCCAAAAAAATTTAATTGAAACTTTTTTTAAAAAAAATATTTTAAATTTCAAATTTTTATTTTCACCCCACCTCACCCCTACCCTCGACCACCCAGCCCCCTACCACTCCCCCACCTAAAAAAAAGAATAATAAATTTACAGTTTGTTTTTAAAAATACTTTCTATTTCAATTTTTTATTTTTCACCCATCCCCACCGCTACCATGTCCCCCCCACCCCCCACCCCCACCACCACCAACCCTACCCTATCCCCACCACCCCCTTACCAGCCCCCAGCCCCCCATCCCAAAAAAATAAAATTAAAGTTTGTTTTTAAAAAATATGTTCAATTTCAAATTTTTATTTTTCATCCCCCCCCCCCAAAAAAATGTAAAATTTGCTTTTTAAAAATATTTCCAATTTAAAATTTTAAATTTTTTCACCCCTACCAGCGACCCTATTTGAGGCTCTATATAGTAGGAGGTGTAGATTTCCTTTAAGGTAGTTTGAAGTGTGTGAGGTTGCTCTCATAGGTCTCGAATCTATACATGAGGCTATGGAGAATCTTCGGCTTATTAGAGACAGATTTAAAATGACTCAATGTCCATAAATGTAGTACGCTGATGTGAGGAGAGGAGATCTTGAGTTTGAGGTAAATGATTGGGTCTACTTAAAAATTTTACCCATGGAGGGTGTGATGAGATTTGGGAAGAAAGGGAAGCTTAGTCCCTGTTTTATGGGCCCATATCAGATTTTGAGGCGAATTTGCAAGGTTGCTTATGAAATCGATTTGTCTAGTGACTTGGCATTGGTGCATCCGATTTTTGATGTCTCCTTGTTCAAAAAGTGTGTTGGAGATCAAACATCTATAGTTCCCTTAGGAGGTTTGGGAGTGAAGGAGAATCTCTCTTATGAGCAGGTTCCGATTGAGATTTTAGACCGACAAGTTCTGAAGTTGAGAAATAAAGAAGTTTCTTTTGTGATAGTTTTTTGGAGGAATCAATTAGTTGAGGATGCTACTTGGGAGGCGGAGGCTGATATGAAGTCCTGTTATCCTCATCTCTTTCCCTCCGTCCCTACTAAAGCTTGAGGTACTTACACCGTCATGGTTCACTCATTGGGTGTCATGTGTCTTAGTTATTCCCATTATTTCCTCATTATGCATGATTCATGAAAAACTTAAGTATTGAGAAAAGGAGTTTACTTGATTGATTTCTATTTATTTTTTTGCATTGGGTATGAGTTGCATATAGACTTCATGATATGATGTTTTGAGCATATTTGAGCTTGGAATTGATGTTTCCTCC